AAATCTTCTGCAAAAGATCATGATTTCCGTGTTTGACAAAATCATAGCAGAAGTTCTACTAGTTCAAGGTGGTTTCCAATATCTTGTACGGGACGAGCAAGTTATACAAGAGGAGGAAGGGAGTTATGAGGATGGAGGAGAGAAACAGACGCAGAAAGAGACGGGTCGAAATGTTGGGAGGGAGATGAAGCTTCGCCATCCTCCCAAAGCTCTGTGCTCACGTTTGTACAGTGGTAATGGGCTGTCAGAAGCAGACGTTCGCTGCTCGTGCCTTATATACCAACACCATTACGCTGCTCTTGGGTCGGTTTCTATCGGCTTGCTCGTATTATCAACCCCTCTGATTGCGTTCTTCTCGTCTCTCCCTTCATTCCTCTCCTTCGTGGCCCACCCTTCGACCAACCGCTTCCTTCGATAACGTTTTCCCATCATTGTCTAACTATATATAAACTGTATTCTGAATTTGGAGAAAGATCCAAAATGGAGAACAGTTAGATACATTTATACGTTAACTATTGTCTCTTTCTTCATATATTTTTTACTTTTTGAAAATGAAATTTTTTATTTTGATATCTTAAATTATTTTGTAAGTAATTAGATAAATTAATTAAAGTTCAAACAAAAAAATGATGTATTTAATCATGATTAGAATTTAATCATGACTATTAAAAATATTTTTAAACTCATTATTAATTTTTAATATCTTTGAATGGATCAATGTATAGTATTTTTCTTATCTGAATATTTGATTTTCAATTATTTTGTTATACTTATTTTATATTTTATATATAATAAATATATATTGAACCTAAATTTAAGAAATTAGAAGAGATATCAAAAATAGATGTATAAAGACCAAATTTTAAAATCATATTTGTCAATACGTACATAATTTTAAGATTATAAAAAACCTTATTTACATATTTGATAAAAGATGGATCATTAGTCAAAACATTTCATTAAAAACACAATATTTTCCATTTGAAAAATTGTATTACAATAATTTTATTTAATTTTAAGTAATATGGATATATGATTGTAATTATTTCTAATTTCATTTATTTTTAATTCTTTCATTATATGAAAAATGAAAATTCTCACTTGAGAATTCATTCATACCACGTGTTCATCGACTATCCCTCAATGTGCCTTTTCCTCCTACAATAATCAATACTGCGAGAGGTTTTCTGCACAGGACTGGTAGGCTGTTGGTCTAAATTTCAACATGGAAAACAATACGTTTTATACATAAAAAAATACGAGTTCGTTAAAGTTCGTCCTTGAAAATTTTCCGCTTTCTATTCATTCATCCCATTGTCAATAATAAATTTTTTCAAACTTTTTATAAATTTTCGCAGTTTTTTTTTCTTTTTCAATATTATCTTCCTGGAAATATTAAATTTTAGAATTAAACGTGCTTGTGAGAGATGAGACTTTAGATTATAAATTATATTAAAAAAAATATTAAAATCTTTATTTTTATTATTTTTCTATTTATTGAAAATTAAAAAACTTTTAATATAATATTTATATTTCTAAAAACTCTTTAAGAAATAAATTAATAGATCTTAATTAATATTTTAACATCATTAAAATATTTGGTAAAATATTTTGAATATTTCTATTGAACATGGAACACTAATTATTTCTATATATATATATAACCTATAGGTATTATTTGTATCAATAGTACCATCTAGTAATCACTATTGGAACTATTATTTACAATTTTATAACAGCGGGAATTTTTAAATTTTAATCTTTCAATCAATTTTTTATATTTTAATAAAAATTTTATTTTTTGAATATAATTTAAAATATTATATAATACTTTAATAAATCAATTAAAATTTTATAGTACACATTTATTTTAGATTTTTAAAGGATTCATAATAAATCATAAACTATAAATTTCATGATGGTATATCTTTTGTGCAAATACTAAATTAGCTACGTCAACATTGCATTGTTTTTGTTTTCAATCCCAATTCAGTATTTATTTTTATTAAATAATTTGTGATTTCTATAGTGTATATGATAATCAATAATAACAATTTAATAAATAATAATTATATAACTTAATTTAATTATGCGTTCAATAGTGATAATCATTTAATTGATTTTAGAAAACTTCAATAACATAACCATACAATATTGAAAAATCAATGTTCCATCAAATATTTTAATATATTTTCTTCTTGAAAATCGCTACTTCGTGTACGAAGAAGACTTGAACATGATTGGATAATTAAATGCTTTTGTTACGCAAGGTGCTCATCAATTTGACGCTTCTTGCTATAATTCTTGTTTTATTCTATTGTTATCAAACATCAAATGGTATACATTGGACATTGCACGGTGAACAAGAAAATGCATCGACTATTGAGTCGAGAAGTTCTAGCGATGATACGATTACCACGTCAATGTTATTGTCAAATAAAAAGATTTATTATAATGTCTGGTGTATATTTACAAAAGTTGCTAGTAACTCTCCGATGAAACGAAAATTTAAGATCTTTGCAGAATCCTTATTGAAATTATCTTCTGTTGATATTGCATTTCATGTTATGACTGATAATGATAGCAAAAATATTGCTGAGAAAGTTTTGGGAAATATTCTCTCATCTACTGGAAAATTTATGAAAGTAAAAATGATTTTATTTAGAAGATTTTGAACTTTTGAATTTTTCAAAATTTAATTTATTTTATTATTATATTATTTTAGATACAATATTATGATGTACATGAGCTAGCATTACAATTGGAAGACATAGTGTCTGTTATGTCTCCACACTTTAGCAGCAAACCAGGAACTTATTATTCAGATGCATTATTTTTCCTATCTCTGGGTCTACATCGCATAGCTCCAATTGAACAAAATGTTGCAGCAATGTTTGATGCTGATACTAAGTTTCGTAAAGATATCAAGGAACTTTTTGAAGAATTTAATACTTTTGGAAATCAAGCATTATTTGGTCTGTCTCCAGAACTCACTCCAGTTTACAGACATGTTTTATATCTATATCGTAATAAACATCCTAATACATTATTTGGAGAACCTGCTAGTTCAGGTGGTTATCCTGGTTACAATAGTGGAATGGTACTTTTTAATCTTGATAAATTACGAAATTCTACAGTTTACGATAAAATTGTAAAAAAAGAAAGTGTAAATACAATGACTTCAAAATATCACTTCAAGGTAATGGATTTTTTTATATAATAAATATAACCTATATTTGATTTATATACTATGATAATATCAATTATAAATATATATTACAAAACTGTTGTATTTTTAACTTGTTTTTAGGGTCATTTAGGAGACCAAGATTTTTATACTCTTTTAGGCATGGAAAAACCCGAATTAATTCATACTATTGATTGTGGATGGAATAGACAATTATGTACATGGTGGAGAGACCGTGGATATGCGGATGTATTTGAGAATTATTCAAAATGTGATTCAGAAACAAAATTATGGCATGGAAATTGTAATACTCCTATACCTAATGATTAATATTAATATTATATATTATAATTATATTTTATGAGTATAACAATATCTATCTATTAGAATGAAAGTTACAAACTATAATTATTGTTAATGCAATTATAAAAGTTTAAAAATGGTACTTGTTACCATTCTAACATATTTTTGGAGTCTGTGATTCTTTAATAATAATACATATCTTCCCTTACAGTGGCAATATTAAGTATATATATATATATATATTAATAAATTTATTCGTTTTATTAAAACTATTTTTAGATATTAAACAATATATTATATATTTTATATATATATTATATAAAATTTAAATTTAAATTGAACAAAAATTACCAAACATTATTTTTCAAAATTTTATACTAACTGTTAGATTCATGTTCTACAATATAATAAGTGCTATTTTTATACAAATATGAAAAATTATTAGAAAAAAAGTGAATTGTGTAATTTTAATTTTTTATGTATAACAATAATTATTATATTTTATTTGCAAATAAAAATATTCAAAAAAAAAAAGTATGTTCATCATTTTAATTGATGATTATATATATTATCTTCTTTAAAGTTATTTCTAAAGCAATAATTATTTAAATAAAAACCAACGATTTCTTTAAATTTTTAATGGAATTTAAATAACAACATATATAAATAAAGGTCGCCATAATATATTTTTACGCAAAAATAATAATATTAAATACAATATTAACACATCGTATGCTATTTACAATATAGAATACGCCCTTGATAATTACCACTTGCCATAAAAATATTTCTTTTTAAACATCATAATTCATAAAATAAATATATATCTCAAATTTAAATATTAATAAGTAATCATATTTTTTTTGTTGACTCTTCTGGACTATTATTAATATTATATTAACAAAATAATTTTTTCATATAATTGTTAAAATTAATATCATTATGAATTGCAAAAATATGTTTAATGAAATTTTTTTTTTTTAGTAACAATAAATGTTGCAAGTGCAAAAAAAATTAAAATTATTTGATAATTCTTCATTGTTTTATATAAACACGAGATAAACAACGATTTCTTTAATTCTGTGAACACACATTCGAAATATATCATTATAATTATAATTATTTTCAACTTATATAACTGACCAGATTTTTTTCTCCTTCTCAAAACAAAAAAAAATTATCTTCCATAATTATACATAATATATCCTAACTGTATCTAAATTCGTTGTACGATATGTAAAATAAAAGATGTCACCTTTGGTCCCAGTGATAGAAACTTAATGTTAATCGTAAATAGGAAGTGTTAGTCAACATTGACTCAATCATTCAGACCTGATCTATTTCCGATTCATTTTTTATTTAGATTAGGACTGAATGGCTGATTGAACTAATAAAAGAAAAAAAAACTTAACAAAAATTGCGTAGACTGCGTCATACAATGAGCAACAATGTTTCGAAAACAAACCTAAATAGGTCCGTTGACTATTTGGACACGAAAATATTCTTCCTATCGCCTCAATGCGTAAACGATATTTACATCATCGATTTTTTTTTATTGACAATTCTTCTTTTTGATTGTTCCGATTTTTTACACGCGATATTTACATGTGACCGAATAACATGTAACGAGTCGGTTTTTACATAAATCAAAAGAATTATTAATAGAATGATTTCGAAGAAATTATAGGTTGGATAATCAAGAAAAAGAATAAAAATAAGAAAGAAAAATAAATGATCATTCAATCGTGATCAAAATATATATATATATATATATGATTCTTGTCCTCTTTTTTTGATAATTGCCAACCTTTTCTTTATCACTCAGACTATATGACATAAAGCACCAAAATATCTTTTTAAGAATGCCAGTTCTTCTCGGCAGTATTATCCAGTATTATCCTCAGATAGGATCATTTTTTAATTTCTGAAAGTTAACATCTTTCCGTTGCCTGCAATTATAAATTTTTAAATTAAGCATATAAAATAACAATATAAAAATAACAAGAACTTTTGAATTTTTTAATTCATTTTTATGAAAAAAATTGAATTCGAAATAAACATTTTCTATTATTACAATATTAATTATTATTATTATAAGCATAATTATATACTTACACTCTTTAAATTTTCGCGACCACCAAAATTTCGAATCGATTCTAATAAAATGTCTCGCTGATCTATTTGAGCGGGCATGGATTTCGGTCTCGCGCTTTTCAAAGTTACACCTGTTATCACCGGCATTGTAGGAGATCTCGGAATATCATTTGATGATTCCTTGGAAAATTCTTTAATATCATCTCTCTTTATTCCTATCTTTGTATCTTTTTTTATCACATGGACTTGTATTTTTTGATCTTGATCTTCTTCTGATTTTAAATTTGAAAATTTAAATCCTTTTACAACAGGCATTAGTTGATTTCCTTTCAAGTTTATGCCATTTCTGAAAATCAAATTATTTTGATTTTGTGTTGGATTGACTGCAATTGATGTAAAACTTTTAGGTTTTAAACTACTTTGGTAGACATTTGTTAAACATTGATTAAGGTTATGCCCATTTTGCATGCTGCAATTATTTTGTTGAAATTCCGACCGTTGAATTATATTAGATTGTTTTGGCTTCGATCTAAGACAAACATCTTGACCAAATGCTTTCGTTAATTCTTTAAAATTCACTGGAGTAGTATCTATAACACTGTTATCTTGTTTGTTTTCTGGAGAACTCTTTTTTAATTCTACTCCAGTTACAATTGGTTTATCATTAATAACTTTTGAGTTTGTGTCAATAATATTATTCGGCATTGACTTTTTAAAGCCTGAAGCTGTTGTATGAGTAATCAATTTTTTGACTAAATCATTCGGTTTATTTTTATCCGAAGTTGTAATCTCAAATTTATTTTTTTGCATTTTAAAAGTTTCACTATTAGAAGAAGTTTCTATCTCATCTTTAATATTATTTACATTAACAATTGTTTTGCTATTGGCTTGTTGCGTTCCAAATTTGTAATCTAAATCCATTTTTATCTGAACATTGGCACTCGGCCGTTCAGACCAACTACCTAAATTAATTGTAGGAGGTCCTGAATAGATATAGCGTTTTGCATTCATTTTTGAATTCGTTTCTGATTCTATTTTTTTACTACTTGGTGCTGACTGAGGTTCAGTCGGAACGACATTCGATTCTTTCGAATATTCGTTAGACATGATCTCGGTCCTTAAACAAATTAAAAAATTATTATTTGGATTTTAAAAAATTTGTATTATGAGAGATTTAAAATTTACCTTTTTTCTTCAAATAATATTGTATTATTCGAATCTTTGGACACATTTTCCTCCGCCTGTTGAGCATTTTTCAACTGCGGCAAAATGCTTTTCAGCACCTAAAAAATATCATTATGATCACAAAAATAACAAAAAAAAAAAATTTTTAAACAAAATTAATTACCTGTAAAGACTGTAATTTTTTTTCTTTGGTAGGATTTTCTTGCCGCTTTAAAATATTATCCCGCCATTGCGAAAATTTTTCATTATTTTTAGGCACAGTTATATTTAAATTATTAATGCTCATTGCCTTTTTCATTCCGGCATCATCCATTTCCGTATGTTTAACATTTTTAATATTTTTGTCTTCATACGTATTTCCTTGAAAATTAGGTTTATCACATATAGATATATAACTTTTGGACCGCTGAATATTGCTTTTTTCGTTGCCATACTGCCACCTCTGCAAGGATTCCATTTGTATCTTTGGTTCCAGCTTTTTAATATTATTCAATTTATCATCTCCTGTAACTACTTTTTTTTTTCCTTGTAAAGTCCCTATATTGAATTCTTTCGAGTTTTTATTTTCATTCTCATCCAGATTACCCCTATTTCTAGATAAAGTTGCAAAAGATCTAATAAATTTATCATCAGAATTTTCTTGTCTGAACTGTTCTATTTCTTCGAATATATTCAAATTCTTCTGTTTACTGTATGTCGTAATAGTAAAATTTGATAGAGTGATATCTATAGGAGCAATTTTGGAAGTTGAAGAATTTGATATCTTTTTAGAGTCTACATCATTTACAGACTGGGGTAAAATACCTATCTTATTTTTTAATTCATAAATCACTTCCTTTTTAATATTTGACTCTGATTTTTGTTCTTTATTTGATTTTTCTTGTGAATTTGGCTTCTTAACTTCATTTTCCAATAATTGTTCCTTGTTTTTTTGTCTTTCTTTTTTTCCTATAATATTTTTTAGATTTTTGTTTTTTGAAGTTTGAATTGTTTCTTCTGTTTTTGTATCTATCAAAGACTCGGATATAGGAGTGATTGCTTCAAAATTATCAAAAACTGGAGATGCATTGTCTCTAAAGGCACTTGGAGGAGCTGGAAGTTGATACTCCCATTCAACGATGGATAAATCTTCTTCAAGTGTTGATACATAATCTGACGTATCCTGTTGTGAATTTATAGTTAAATTTGGACTGGTATTCATATTTAAATCATTAGGATATTCAGCATTCTTTTTATTTTTCTGTTCTGTTTCTTTGGAAATATCCTTTGACTTTAATTTAGTTTTTGCTGGAGCAACTATTTCATCGGATGATGAAACGGAATTGGATAAAGTATCAAATACTTTTTGGAGCAGGACATCAGTCTCTGAGAGATCTATATCTGTAATTTAATATTTTAATAAATAAGATAAATGTTTATGTTATATGAAATTGCTTAAAAAAAAAAAATTTATTTTTATTTAAAATAGTTAAAACAAATCAATTATGAAACCACAAACTAAGAATTTTATGAAAATTTAATTATTATTCCTTTTTTAAATTCCATCACCTTTTTTCCTAAGATGTCAAACAATTCTTCAAACTATTAATTGTATTAAACATATTTGCATATTAAGAGTTAATTACTTCAAATTATTTCTAATATTTTTATTTTCTAAAACCATCATTTATCTTCGGATTACGATGATCGGATTATTTTCTGGCGTTTTACAGTCAATTCATGCTGATTTTTTCAAAATCGTATATAAAAGCGAATGAAATACAAAGAAAATTCATTTAAAATTGATGAAAATAGATAAGACTTATCAAAAAAAAAAAGAAATTATTAAGCAGACAATGCTATATATTTAGATCAGATTTGCTCCAGTCATCGTTATTCAAAGATTAAATCTCATTTTTTTATTACATTTAAAATGATTCAAGCATAGACAATAGCTTAAAGGCTTATGCAAGTGAAAATTAAGTGATTATTCCCATATAAATATTAGTGATATGCAACATGCACCTGATGAACCCACTGTTATACAGGATTTTTCTTCATCCACATTTTTGGAATCAGTATTTTTCTTCGTCTTCGGTAATTGTGCAAAATTTTTGTCGACTTCTCTCGATTGATCAGGCAACAGAATAGATGTCACATTTAGATTCAAAGCAAATGTAATATCCTCTGCATGAGATGTTAAATGTCTTTTTTGCTTTTCCAATGAATTTACTTCAAAATCATTTGACTTTGATGCTGTCCGAGGTAGTTTAGCTTTTTTTAGATCTTTTAAATATTCCCCTTCTTTAGTTTGTGTAATCATATCATTGATATATAATTTATTCAAGTGATTGCATTTTGGCATTGTAGAAATTACAGTACAGAGTTTTTTCTCCTGTCCAGAAGTATTCTTAATTGACATTAAATCACTGTTTATCAATATAGAATCTCCATTTAAAGAATTTTCTATATTTTCTTTATTTATATTTATATTCAATTTTTGTTTATGATCAGTTCTATTATCATTATTATTATCATCATCATCATCATTTTTTATGTTTGTAGATTTAAAATCATATTTTTCTAAAATTTCTGAACTATAATCGAAATTTGCTTCACTTTCGCCAGCAGGTGTCATGAATACTTCTTTTTCATTAGTAAAGTAATTACAAGAGATTTCCAATTCCTCTTCACATCTTACAGAATTTTTTTTGCTAGATCCATCGCTGTCAGTATAAATCTTTGCATCAGTGACATACGAATTCGCGTCAGTTGTAAAACTTTCAATGTTGGATTGTGCAGAATCATTTGATAAGCAGTCTATATTATTATTATTAGAATTTGAGCTGAGCGTTCTACTCAATGGGGAAGGTGATATTAACTTGCGTTTTGCAACCTCGGGCCGTATTGTAGTGGTATTTCTAGGCTTAGGATGTGGAACAGGTACTGCAACTATACTCAAAAGGAAAGAAAAAAAAAAGAAGCCATCACCAATGAATCTAGTTAGCAAGCAGATAAATACAAATCATTTTTAAGAAAGAAAATTTATGTGCATTGAAAAACAAAATGCAGAAGTGTTTTAAGCATGCAAAATTAAAATGCTATTTCTAATACTTTTTTTGAACAGTAGTATATATATTATATTATTATATAATTAATATTTTATATTATTATATATTATATAATTAATATTTTATATTATTATATAAAAATTTAATTAATTAAATTTATATAATTTTACATAGTAATAAAAATAGAATAAAATAAATAATAATTTGGACATATCATAGTATCATAATCATCAATCTATTTTTGCAATCTATTTCAAAAAATATTAATTAGAAATTATAAAAAATTAATATGAAAGTTTCCAAGCTAGAAAGAAAAATTTTTCACTAAAATAAATATTGATTTAATAATAAAACAGCATTTAAACAAATTCTCCAACTCTACTTTCTAATATTGAATTTAATTGAACCAAAAACTTATTCCAATTTTCAGTGGATTCTTCTCGACTGACTAAACCTGGTGGAGGTGGTTCCAAAATACTCAGCTTTTTCTCAGACTCTAACTTACATTCATTATGATGAATAATAGGCAAAGAGGGCAATTTATCAATATTATTAGGAACATCTATATTTGTTACTGAAATATCTAATGGTTTTGTAGAAATTGCAAATATCTGTAAATTACTCAATGGAGGTGGTGAAAGATTGGATTTATGATTATCTATTATTGAATTTTCGAATATATCTGTATCAAAACTAGAGGAAATTGAATCATTGTAACATTTTGTTGTACTAACATTTCCCAATCTTGGCTGTTTATTGTCCATTAATTCAGAAACATTTTTTCGAGTACAAAAACTTCTGGAATTTGATAATTTTGGTTTTTCAAAATTATTTATTATTTTCGTCTCTCGTAATTTATAACCGATTTGAAAACTCAAACTATGCTTCAATTCTTTAGATTGACATCTTTCATTATAAATACAATTATTCTTATTCACCCTGAAATTGAATTTATTTTCCAAAACATCAGACTCAGATATATTTTCAATATTCTTTTCTATATTGTCTAAGTTAACTAAAGTTTGCATTTTAATTAATCTATTCTGGGATTTAAATGAATTTTGATTCAAAATGTCCTTACTACCTGAACAACTGTATACTTTTTTGGTTAATTGTCTAGCTTTAGAGTTCACAATATTGGAACAAGCAAAACTCTGTGACTTTTCTAATTTGGGTTGTGATTTGTAATGATTATTTTTTGATTTTAAAAAGTTAACTTTGGGTTTAATTGACCAATTTTCAAAAGAATAATTGAGATCATCAGAAATTTTAATCCTTTGATCTGCACTATAGTCTTGAATTTTTGATTGTAATTTAATTTTTTCTAAATCAAAAAGATTAGTATGTTTCTTTATAAAATTACTTCTTTCTCCTACAGTCTCAAAACTGTTCATAGGCATAAAACTATAGGAAGGAAGATTGTTGTCTATATTATCACAGCTATGCACTAGCTTACCTCTCTTCCGCAGTACTCTAGCATCTAGAGGAGCATCTTCTATTGGTGCAGGGTGTTTTGACTCCGTGCTGGGTAACTTAACATTTATAGAATCAGATCTATGACACGATTCAAGATCAGATTTGCCGCTCTTTGATTCTAATTCTACTTTTGTAGTATCAGATTTTATAAAATCAATACTCGAAGACAATATTGAGCTAACAGTTGTTATTCCAATATCTGAGTTGGCTTTTGGACGTTCTTCTATATCTGAATTCGCTTTAGATGGAACACCAATGTCAGAAGGAGGTTTAGAAGGATCCATATCTGATGTTAAGGATTCTTCAGAGTCAACTATACGTTCTAATGCTTGAGTAGAAATCGCTGACGATAAAGGTCTAGTTACTGGCGGAGGAGGTGCAACTCTTTTCTTTCGTAATCCTATAAAAGTTCAAAAAAAATTCTATTCATTATAAAAGTTAAAATAAAAAAAGATAAAAATAAATAAAAATAAAATTTAATAAATGAAAAAAAACAATTGTTTTAATTTGAATGAAATATTTTTACTTGAGAGATTATTTTAAATTATATTCTTTTATAAAATATATTTTTAGAATCAAAATTTAAAAAAAATTTTAAATTTACTAGTAGAATGATTATAAAAAAAGAGATTATTCATTCCTAAAATAATATAAGAAAAATTTACACCTGTAGAACTCAATGAAGTATTGCTAATGCCATGACTAAGTGTACCAGGTACAGAAGCCAAATTATTCAGGCTTTTACTGGACTGTGACGTTTGAGCTAATTTCCGGGACATTTCGAAAGGAACTTTGTTCCTTCTGGGCAATGTTTCTGGAAGTCTTCCCGCGGAATCTGGATTATCACTTAACACAGAAGCTTCATGATAACCAGAACTATCGCTGCTATTTCGACTGTGGCTAATCATCACTTTATCTTTGCTAGAATCTCCAGAATTTTCTTCAATATCCTAAAACAATTAACATTATTTATGTCAAAAAAATGCCAGTTTTTAATACATTTATTAATAAAATTTTTCGAACTTTATAGTATATATAAATAAATAAAAATTATACATATAATACTTATAATATACGCATATAATATAGAAAAAATTATATCTATAGTAATAAAGAAAAATTACTATATTACTATATATATATATTGTAGAAAAATTACTAACGTTTTTAATCTCTGCTTGAGCTTGAATAGGCGGCTTTGGAGCTGGCCTCCGTTTTCTTTGAGGTCGAGTAGGTGCTTGTAGAGGACTCGTACTTCTTCCAGTTTCGTCACTTCTTGCTGGTGACGCACTACGTTCACCAAGACTATCTGTACTTAAGGAACCTTCTTTGGATTTTTTGAATACAAATCCAAAGACACCTTGTTTTGCCTGCTGCCTACGTCGCTCTTCTTGTCTTTGAAGAGCCATTATATCCTGAGTGCTAAGAGCTGAGCCTAGTGTTCTGCCTTGTCTAGCATACAGAGTAACTTCCTGTAAGTGGTAATCCTGCAGTGACAATGATAAGTCCAATGTTTCCAAGCTTGCTGTAAAAGAATATCAATTTTTAATATTTTAATTCTTTTTTAAAATTCTAAATTTTAAGATTATTTCTATGTGAATATGAACTTTTTTTAATACATAATAATCTTTAATATAATTTAAACTTCATTTAGAGAAAAGAAGATATTTTGATTAATTTATTTTTATTAAAATAAAACTTTTCATTAAATCAAACTTTTTAAAAAAAATATCTTTGTTTAACTTTATTGAAATTCAAATCAAATTGGAATCTTCGTTTAATAAAGAAATCTATATTGAAAAATAGAATAAATACAGTACCTCACAATGAGAATACAGATCAACTATAATTCTCCAAAATGGATCAAAATCCTTTAGATATAAGAATCAATCTCCCCAAAAAGTGAATTCCAATTGAGGTACGGTTTAAAAGCACAAAAAGAGATTATTACAGATCCAAGGGATCGGTAACAAGTGTAAGGAAACATCGGTTTCTGCGAGGACAAGCAACCCAAAGAGCAATGCGTACGCACGCTTAACGACTAGGAGTAACAAGTGGAAGAGCCGGCCGGTAACCTTGCGATAGCGATCTTAACACAACTGGCTTGGTGTAACTAGCTAACTGAAATATCTCGTGCACCAACGTGAGATATATAATCGAGGAGATCCCACTAGTACTCATAGTATTGGAAATAGGCTATAGAGGATGGTCGAGTCATCTACTAGTAAATCTAGTTATAGTCGAACATAGTAGGATATTTTCGATATTCATCTACACAGTGAATATGAAATTTTCATTTTCAAGTGATATTAAATTATTTACTAAAATTATAGTATAATTATTATTATAATAAATAAAAATAAAAGTTTAAAAGGAAATATTGTAATTTTTTTTATTAATTTTTTATTTTATTAGTCCTGTTATTTTATTAGAAGTTATTTATTTTAACTTTAAATATTGGGCATTGGAAAATATATAAAATTAATTTTAAACTAATTTTTTAATAAATTTTTTTTTAAATTATAAAATATATATTATGTAAATCAAAATTACAATAAATTTCTCATAAAGAAATGAAGAAAACTTGTTCTGAACTTATGAGTTAAATTAGCAATGATTAAAAAAATATCTTCCATAGTTTCTTTATAAGTTATAATAAGAAAAAAATTAAAAATACATCTTATTATATTTTCTTGAAAATATTTTTATCCATTTGATAAAAAGAAGTATAGATTTCCAAGAAAATTGGATTGGAATTTCATGTTACATACATGTATATATGTACACATATATTTATACAGACGTGATCAGAATGGCTTCAGAAGCCATATTGATCCGAGTAAATCTAACTGAAGTATGCAGTTATTGACATTTCTGCTTATAAATTTTATTCCAAATTAATGTGCACATTAATCACACACATAAAAATAGTACTATAATACAATTTAATTAAAAATCTATTTTAATTCTTATTTTTCAACAAATATCCGTCATTTATTTACACAATTTTATCAAATAGTTCTTCGTTGTGTGAATCAAATAATAAATCTGTTTTCTTTTTCTTAAAATCTTATGTCAACATTTTAATTGCTTAATATAGTTCGTCGCTAGTTTATTTAACTTTTTAATTTCTAATTTTTGTTCTAGGTTTTGAGTCAATGTTTTCACTTCTTTTATTAATGTTTCAAACAAGTTTTTAGAATTTTTAATGATATCTTTGAGAATTTTATCTTTGTTATTCTACTTCTATTTTTTTTTCTTTTTCTTTTCTATGACTTTTTTTTTAATCACATAAAAATTAAATTATTTACCTGGGTGACGCAGTTCATATTTGTTCTTATCTAGATCTTTTTCACGACATACTTCTTCCAAAATCTCACCTAAGTTCATCTTGGGACTGACTCTCGATACATACAATTGATTTCTTGGTAAATGTACCTACAATAATTGCACAATCATGATTTTTCCAGCACGTTACTTGATAAACTATTGTATATATATAAAAATAGATATTAAAAATGGTGATAAAACTAGAACGTCTAAAGTTTCCACTTTATAAGGAAATGTTTACGGAATATTTTGAGTTTAAATATTGTTATTTCTAACGCAACAAATATATGCGATATATATATATTTTTGTATTCTCATATTTTTACCTGTAACCTGAAAGTAGTTTCAAACGGTTGATTAACTTGTTTCGCTTTTCTTGGTACCAAAGTCCCCTGTTTAGGTAATAATTTTACCTGGAACATTAAACATAAAATAATTTTTATGTTTAAATATTTATTTTTGGTAAAATAATTTTCAATATATTTGATATTTTATAATAAATGATTCTGCTGAAAATTACGATTGAAATAAAATATGAAAATTATTCAATTTGAAAAGCATAGCAAAAATAGCCAAGATCTTGAAAAAAATTAGATATGTATAACAAAATAGTTCAAATTAAATACGATATAATTAGAAAAGATTAAAAGCATTCTTTTATAAGAATTAAAAACTTCTATACTCATGAATTCATGGAATTTTTCAAGGAATTCGTGGAATTCTTTATTTCTTTATTTAATTCTTCATTTTTTTAAATAGAAAAAAGATGGAGAAACAGTATTTTCTTTTTCTAATTTTCTGTTCGAATTCTTTAAAAAAATTCTTTAATTAAAATTTCTAAAAGAAAACTTTTTTCAATATCTCTTAATTATTCAATAATAATTTTCAAACATTTTTCATTAACATTTTTCATCAACATTTTTTTTAATTTTCATTAATATCATATTTAAAAAAATTTTCTATGAATTAGAGTATGAGTTATTTCCTCTTTTATTATCATTTTTAATTACAAAAAATGAAATACTTTTTATTATAAACGATGATGAAATTTGTTTGTTCAAGCTATTATTTTTTTTCAAGAATTTTGATTATTATTCTTATGTTTTCTAAAAAAAAAAAGATTTAATTAGAGTAAAATAATTTCAGTAACTTTAAATTAAATTTTTTTTTAATTTTTATCAAAGTTTTCACTAAGAATAATGAAAATCATAATTAAATATCTATTCTAAATATTTCAATCATTTCTTTAAAATATAAAATAATATTAATATAAATATATTGTTTATAAAAAAACAAGAAAAAGAATATAATAGAAATTATTTAAAATGAATACTATTTTGCTTACTTTTGCATTTATAAAAAAAAAAAGAGCAATTATGGTATATGCATGTGGTATATTCATTTCATAATGTGTACATATAATACCTGAAGTGCATCCAACGCACCAATTGGTGTATTGGGTTGATGAGATAAAACCATCCCACGTTCTCCAATCGCTTGGAGAGTATAGTTGGAAGCTGTCAATTTGTGAGCCGTGGCGATTTGCACGAGGAGATCCATCATCGGCGTACTGCAAATAGAAAAAATCAAGAAAAATAATTAGAATTCGTTCATGGAAATCTGAGCACCGAAAATAGATCTTCTATCATGCCATATGTTATATTGTTTTACAACACATTGCATTAACATTTCTGAAAAATCAAATCCCTGAACCATAAATATTTTGCGCCAAAAACGTAAAAAGTTCAAAATTATTAATAATTCGAAATTATTATTCATAAAACAATTTTATTAATTAAACTAAATATATTGTATATATTTATTAATTAAAAAAATTTAATCTTTTTATTCGTTACCATTTCCATGAAACGAATTTATAGAAATTTATAGAATTATATATTTATAGAAAATAGAATTTATAGAAAGTAGAAAAAATTCTATTCAAACAAAAAATTTGTTAGAAATCAATAAAAAAAGAAAGAGAGAGAAAGAGAACTATTTGTAATTAAAAAGCATTGATAATTTTCTAATGAAGATTGCACTTGTACTTTAAAAATTTTTTTTTAACATTATTTTTACCTATAATCATCAAATAATAAATCAGTATAAATATAAATATAAATAAATAAATATAAATCAATGTAAATATAAATATAAATATAAGTATAAAATAAAACGTAAAAAATAAATGATTATAATATTGTAAATATTGTCCTACAATTCATTTTATGATTGAATTGTGATTATTTTCATTAACTTTCAGAAACATTAATATAATAATGTCATTAATATAAAAATTACTGATTGTGCGATAAGAATTCTGATTATCGCTAAAATCTTTTCAGCCTTTTAAAACTGAAGATATCAAAAATATTATAAAATATTATAAATTTTTTTTTTTTATTAAATGTTCATTTTAACGCACTTCATTTAGGTATTTTTTAATGGTTAAATCTAGTTGATTCATCAATCAGACGATAACAATAATTAGAAAATAAAAATAAAGCTGGATTTAGTGATAGAAATCATTTTAAAACTATTCCATGGCCGTATTGTAAGAATTTATAGAGTAGATTAAATATGTATACCTTCTCTGTACCGTGACTCTTTGCATTTGAAGATGATGTTCCCGAGGTAACTGGACCAGAAGCTCCATACTACCGGCCAGCATGTCTGCTGGTGTGTCTTCGGTCACAGTTAAAACCATTCTGGATGGTCTTTCCTCTCTAATTCTAAAAATTAAGAAAGAAAATTTTTCATTAAAAAAATATTTAATCAACTTAATAAGAATAAGAATAAGAATAAGAAAGAAATATTGTTATAGAAAAATTAAAATAAAATTAGAATAAAATTAATAAATAAATCTCAATCAATGCTTTGATATATCAATTTTTATGTTTCTTTGATTCCTAAAATCGATCTTTTACAAATGCTTTATGAGTATGTTAACATTGTATAAATATTATTTATAAAAGAATTATATATTATTATTATATTATTATTGTATTTCAATCCTATTTTGTGAATACCGCATAGCTTTTTAGAAATATTGTTTAGCATGCATATCTATTATATCTTTGTGTTATATACTTTTTGTTCTCATAAATATACAAGTCATTAGGTTTACATTTTAATGTATCATTTATATGGCAATTTCAGCAAGCAATAATTCTGCAAACAATTTTGATGACGATTTCTTAATATTTCTCAATGTATACGAAATGAAAGCGTACATTAAAACAAACGTGACACAAATTCTCTATGGCTTCCGCAAACATACATCGATTACACTTTTATGTTTCCATGTCACGCAAGTATTCAATGTCAATCGTTATCATCCGTGGCCGTTTCAAAACATGGCTGAATTAATCTCGATGATTTTATTGAAAAAGAAGTGAATTTATTCATGGAACGAACAATGATTATCTGATTGTTAAATGCCTTAAATATATCTTAAATACAACGTTAAAATCTATATATTTCAAATAATCACGATAAATCTTATAATTTAATTTTTCAATAAGATTTACAAATCTCATTGATTGAGCAATCAATTAAAAGAATAATTTTATTTTGCTTTTAAATTGTTTAAATCAATGTAATATAATTTTTTATGTTTTCACACTGTTATTTTAATTTTTAGGAACTATATTATTTTGATGTCATAGTACTTCAATATTAACTTAAATACTTTACAGTAGTACTTAAATAATTCAGTATTTTATTTGATACTTATTCATCATATTTATCATAGTCTTTAGATATTTTCTTGGTATTTCAATAATTATAAAGATGTTACATATACATGTATAACATATATATTTATATATATACACATATATAACATCTGTAACTAAAAAACTTAAATTATCAATGTTAATGAATATCTAAGTAACGTATATTGGAACGCGTGTAAAATGATATAGTGGAACGGTGACACTTGGAAGACGAAACACGTGATAAAAAGAGTATCGTTTCCTATAACGCAATCTATCCTATCGGTCTCTTGTGTCAAATAAAGCAGACAGAGATTGATTACCATTTATCCGACTTGGCAAGAATAGATATAGAGGAACGTTTAATGTGATACTTGTAGCCCAATTCACACTTTATATTGTATATATATCATGTCTGCATTTCTCTGAAAATGAATGCAATTTCATACTGTGATTAATATAATATTTTTTTTTGTAATTTTAAACAATTATCTTATAATGTATTAATATAAAATAATATCTACTCTTTTACCATTCCATTTAGTAGATTTAAATATATTATATTAAAATGTTATACAAAAGATGATAACATAAAATTCTGAATGAATCTTATTTTGAAGTCGCAGAGGAAAACATGGTTTCATCAGTGATTTCATAACTGACTCTCTCGCACACTATTGCGACATTTGCCAATTGAATGAACGTGACTGTTGGCCGTTGAAAGGAAAACGACCACTTGGAGTCGTTTAAAATTCCTTTACAATGTCAGGTTTTCGAATACAAAGTAAATAGAACTATTAAATTAAAAAATACCTTTCATTTAAACTGACAATCTTTGAATCACATTTCAACGTTTCATTAACATAGTAAAATATTTTCATAATATTAATTATAAACGTTTAAACAAAAAGTGAAGAGTAATATTTTTCTATAATGCAGTTTATAAGAAAACTGAACTTAAAATTTTTTGATGCAGCAGATTAACTGCATCTGTCTGCTATTATTATAATGATTTGGCTAAAATGAAAGAAATTCCATAATTTTAATTTAATTTTCTCGGAAAAAGAGATTTTTATTAAAGAAATTCATATGATCATACCTTATTCAATTTTTTACATTGAATCATCTATTGCACTTAAGATCTATCCCTTGGATTTTTGATACAATTTTAACAAGTTGATAGCTAATATAATTGTTTTATCGCTTAAAGGCAAAATTTTTCATTGGATAACCAAGGAAAGTAAATTGAGATCCACACACCTATTTCAATATCAATCATTCCAGTCACGGGTAACCGATGATTATATCGAAGGAATGATACCGTTATATAATTCGGATCTCGAAGAAAGACTCTTTACATAATCGACTATCACTTAAAAATGGCAAAAGCAGCCATCGATGTTAATTGCACGCATGTAATACAACCAGTTATGCAAGTATCGTGTATTGTGTATATAATAAATTAATAAACTCGAATCGGTGAAATGTTGATTCATCTCTGTTTAGATTATAGATTATCCTAGGATTATCCTATGAACATAGAAAATTAATAGATAAAAATTATAAAAATTAATAAAAAGAAAGAAATAAATTGGCAAATATCAAATTTCAGTCTTCTTATTTCAAATAAAAATAAATTCTCACATAAAAAATTATAAAAATAATAGTATTTTATAAATTTTGAGGATCTATAATATATCCTAAAAATTATTATAAGCTATTAGATTAAAAAATATATAATTTTATTTAAAAAAATTATTTTGAACTTCGATATCACATTAGAAAAAAAAACTAACTTTATAAAATTATACTTTTTTTTGAAATCTTTTAATATACTATGAATCACAATAAGATTTGGCATATGCTTATACTAGATGTCTAGAAACGACAACATTATACTAAGCATAAATTAATAAATCTTTTTCAAATTTACTCTGTCAAAGAGTATCACCACGTGCGGGTGCACGTGACTTCTAGACGCGTCCCTAAAGCGATTCGTGGTAGTGGGTTGCTCAATAAATTGCCGTGGTAGGCACGTTTTCTACCACGAGGTGTATGCGAGAAAGAAGCACGGTAATGAGGCGGGGGCAATGCGTACCCTGGAGACGTTAAACCACAGATTTAATTCCGTTCTTGCAACAGAAACTCTGAATTACCAAAGTGTCCAGCTCTTTTATGGAAAACATTTACGAAATCGATTGCTATTAATTTGTTTCACTTATCTTAATTACTTCTTGAAACTAATAACTCTCTTGAATTAATAATTTGAAATAATAATATAACAAAGTCTTCTTTAAAATAAAATATGACCAGATTAATTAAGACATATGTATATCTTAAAAACCTTTGACTGTCAAATTAGAATTTTTTAGAAATTCATTTATATCTTGATTATTTTCAATTATACAATTTCTATCTAAAATATTTTCTCATATAATAAATGGTTTTTAATTAATTTGACATAGTAGATTTATGTTATTTACTATTCACAAATATTAATTAATAAGTAATAATTAATAAATTTTTATCAATATACATTAATTTCCTTTTTTCTTTCCTTTTTTCTTTAGTTGTTTTTAAGTTTCATCTGTTAATAATATACTTAATACAAAACTCCTAGAGTTTTCAATTGCACTTGTTCTACATCTTTTTTTATTAGTGATCATTTCTTCAAATTCCTAGTAACAGCTTTATTCTCGTCCAGCATCTGCACGAATCAGAAAAGATAATTGGTCAATCAACGTATCGAGGTTTACAGATTATATGTTCCCTAGTTATTTAGAAGATACCGTCCTTAAGATATTTCTTGCGATTCGGTTCGTTGGTTAGGTGCCTCGTAAGCAGGAAATATCAATGTTTTTTCTGTATTTTCTTGACCGAGGTTTCAGTTAAAAATCCCACGGAAGAGCCGTGATTTATATCCTGCTAGGTAGCGCTCTGAAATTGCTTGTTTTGCTATCTTATTTCAAGAAATAGTTAATAAAAAATAGTAGATATACTAAATAAAAGAAATATATCCTGTTTGTGATTGATAAACTTTTTTTTCTTTTTTCTTTATAATAAAGAAAATTGTATATTATTAGAAGCATTTTAATTTAATTTATTTCTGTATATTATTCTGTATGTATATTATTATGAATAAGTTTTATATTTTATAATAATTAATAATTAATAATTAAAGAATCCTTATTTATTTAGAAAATTCTTATTTATAAATGATCAAAAAAATACAAATAGCTAGTAGTTAGGAGTTCAATGGTTATCTCATCTCAATGCCAAAAATGTTAAATGCTTCCTTTGACATAATATTCAATAATATTTTATTTTTTCATTTATATTAGCAATGAATAATAAATATAACTTTTTAAAATATTTAATTATCTTTACTATATAGTTTAACAATTTACATTTGATTTAATATAAATATAAATTCCAAAAATCATAATATCATAATCATTTGTAATAAATATCATAATATAAATAACTTCTATAAATGAATCAGACAAATTTAAAATGAAATATCTATATATCAACAATTATATATATAACTTTTATATTGTCATGAATAAAACAGTAATTAATGAGTAGAAATCATGTTTGTGAATAAATGTCTTTGAAATGAAGTTACTATATAATATCAATTAACAATGAAATCTTTGCTCTGAAAATATTTTAATGATCATGATATATTACTGTTCTTTGCCTTCATCTTTGTCAAGTAAGTAGACAACCTTGACCGTGATATGTCTATAACCTAACTGATGTTAGCTTATTTTTTCTTTTTTAACTATTCATATCTTCTTTTTTTTACTCATTATTGTAGCTTCTTTATTGTAGTTATAATCTTAACTTTTTCAAATAACAGGTATCATACGATCTGTCACATGATATGTGATATTGTCACATGATATTAAATCTCTAGATATTATGCTATAATTCATTGTACAATATAATTCAGTTTAATGCGTTTGTCTCTAACTTTTTTCAAAATTATTAATTATTATTTATTAATTATA